TGAAAGTGGTTTACAAATTCCTTACAAATTAAAATAAATTTTATTTATTCCACTTCTAGTTATATACCTGAGAGAAATGAGAACACATCACACAGAGACCTGTACACAAGTAAACGTTCAAGGCAGTATTTTTCATAATAGTCAAAAATAAAAACTGGGAACAATCCAAATGTCCATCAACTGATAAATGGATAAACAAAATGTGCTACATCCATACAATGTAATTCCATCCATCAGTAGAAAGGAATACATTGTTGCTACATGCAACAGCATAAATAAATCTTTATAAAAGGTCTATTATAAATGAAAAAAAGCTACATGACAGAGAATGCATGTTGTATCATTGCATTTACAGGAAATGTCCATAAAAGGCAGAGTTTTAGAGAGAGCAAGCAGATAATTTGCATGGATCTAGGGCTGAAAGTGGGGCTTAACTGCCTCAGATTAGGAAGGAGATTTGTAAGGTTGACAAAAATGTTCTTACACTGGATTGTGATAATGGCTATGCAACTCTAAATTTTCTTAAATTTATTTAGTATTATAATTAATAAGGGTGAATTATATCTTATATAAATTATACATTAGCATGCTATTAGAAACAAAGCTATGTTTATTAACACTGAAGGAAATATAGAGAAACCTGACAGTGACCATCATAACAAAGGAGCCAGTATTAACATCCACAGTGATGTGTGATGTTATATCATAATATCTGATATTATAAAAAGGGCACTTCTGCTTCTTCTGTATTCTTCCCTAAAATTCATAATCCCAATCTCATTAGGAGAAAACATCAAACAAATTTAAATTCAGTAACATGAAATACTTGACCAATAACTTTCAAGGTCATGCAAAACAAGGAAGGACTGAGAAACTGTCACAGATGAGAAGAGTAGACATGATTGCATGATACTAAATGCAATTTGGTATCCTGAATTGATTCTTGGAACACAAAAATGATATTAGTGGAAACACTGGTAGCCTCTAAATAAAGTCTACAGTTTCATTAATAGTTTTGTATCAATGTTAATTTTTTAACTTTGACAAATTTGCCTTAGTTATGTAAAACATTAACATTAGGAAAAGTTGATGAAGGAAATATAAGAACCTTCTGTACTTTCTTTTCATAAATCTAAAATTGTTTCATAATAGGAATTTAAAATAATAAAAAATTAAAGGGAAATCATCCATATAATATGTTGATCTTACATGAATCCTGATTCAAAGTAGCTACCTTAAGAAAGAGTGAGGAAGGAAGGGAGAGAGGAAAGGAGGGAGAGTGAAAAGAAAAAGAAAAATACTTAAAAGTCAATTCTTTGACATTGACAGAATATTCAATACCATTGAAGAGTTGTTTTAGTTTTGAAATTGGATGAAATGAGTTATGTTTGTAAAAAGTTGTTACCTTTCAGTAAAGCATACTAAGGCAGATGAAATGACATGCTATTTGGGATTGTCTTTGAAATGATCTGGTAGAAGAAAAAGTGGGTGAAAGGGTGGCTAGAAAATAAATTGACTATGGGTGGTGGGTATGTAGGAGTTCATTTTTACTATGCACTTCACCTTTACATATGTTTGAAATTTTCCGTAATAAAGTTTTTTTAAAGAAAAAAATCTTAAAAACCCCAAAGTATTATAATTAGCCTTCTATGTTGACCACAGACAGAGATTGTATCTTTTAAAAATCAAATCTGAACAGTGTCAACATGAGTAAATCATAGAGAGGTGAGTGAACTCTCAAAAATAATCTGAGTAAGATATAATCAGGGCTGAATGGTTGGGGGAAAAGGAAAAGGAGTGCCTGAATTAAAAGACCTCCTAAACTGGAGTGCATTGTTGTTCTTTCCTTGAAGTTCTGTGACCTGGTGATATCTAAAACTCCTAAGCGAGGATTTTAAAAGTAGAAGGTAGTCAAAAAAAAAAAAAAACCCTTTTTTCCTACTCAATGTTCAGATCTATAGTTCCTCGCCCCCTTCAGTTCTTTTTTAATTGACTGGTGGCTTTGTCTGTCGCTTTGTGAAGCACAGGATAGGTTACTGTAATATAAAGCTTTTGCTACTTCTCTGGAAAGCCATTCAGAATCTTTAACTAGTGCAGAATGTAGAACTCTTTTGCTAGAGGATCTCTTGGAAGGAAGTATTCTTCCAGGCTTTGTAATTTGCATTGATTACTGAGCTGTTTTTCAGTGCATCATTGGATGTTGACTGTAATCTATAAAACCTTATATAGTTTTGTCCTCATTAGAGAAGTCTGGCACTAGTTGTCAATTCTGATAATGACTGAGATTGATCTGTTTGACAAAACAACAACAACAACAACAACAAAAATAAAATAAAATTTTTTGGAACCTGAAATGTCAGGAGCAAGTTATTCTTATTGATAACACATATTCTGTTAGGCTGCTATTTTAAAGTGGGTTCATTGTACAGTGTGAATTTGGGAAAAATAAAACACACAAAAACCAGAAAGTTGAAAAGTAGATAGTAGTGCCAGTAAGAAAGTCCTTGTCCTAACTTTCTACTCCTTAATCTTATCAACATGTCCTCATAATATTTTACCACCGTAATGGCCTGCTTTCCAAGCAGTTTTTAACCAATACTGAGTCCCATTACATAGTGACAGAGTTAATGACTTGTTCATGAGGCAGATAGGAAGAGGAGCAGAATTCATATCAAAGACAACTGGTCCCATTTCCAGGTCCATCTTTGGGCCAAGATACGTAGTCGCCAACAGTGAGTTGGCGACTGTATTTTTGAGTCCTGGCGCAAAGTAATATCCATCTGTTTTGCCCAGCCGTTTGCCTGAGTGCCACAGAATAGTCCTGTTATTAGTCTTATTTGTGGTCCTATTTGGGGTTAGGTAAAATGTAAATAAACTTCGTCCCCCTTATGATGAATGCAGCATAGGAATTAAAAGTGGTGGTGGTGGTAGTGGTGATGGTGGTAAGTGACGTTGTGTCTCTATTTTCTCAATTGCTCTGTTTTCTTTGGATTGGGAAACAGACATTTAAGAATGAGTTTGTCATCTGGAAGGATAGTTGTGACCAAGTTTTCCTCAACAGGATACAAGATGTTATTTTTGAGCTTCATTACCCTCACCAAGGGGGGAAAGAGACAGAGGCAGAGAGAGAAAGGGGGAGGGAGAAATCAAGAAGTGAAAGTAGGGAGGAAACACACAGAAATGGAGTGAAAACAAAGGTCAAAGAAGACAAAGAGGAAGGACATAAGGGGCAGGGGAAATGTAACTTAGTAGACTGTTCACAGAATAGACTTTATTATTTTGAACTGATAGTTCAATTCAGTCAACATCTGGTGAATTGAGAAAAAGGAGATCTGACTGATTAAACTGAACTGCTAGTTGTCAGTTAAATAGTTCATATATAAATATCCAGCCCAGTTTCTATCACCTTTTCTTGTCTGAGCTAGACAGTGAATCAGTTTCACTAACCATATTTTATTGGTGAGTAGAACAATACTAGTTGGTGATTTGGATTCATGTAGAGGTGGGCAGTTTTTATGTTTTGGAATCATTTATCAGGGATTATTGTTATTCCATATAATTTCTGAGCAGTTATTTTTGTCAGTTTCTTTTACGAATGTTTTGTTGCCTTATAAGGATATATGTGCACTCCCCTCCTCTCATTCAGTTGTCCCTGGTGACGCCTCCATAATTTCTGTCTTTACACTGGTGCATTTTCAGTCTAATTCAGGCATTTGAGAAGCAGGGGAAAAGTTTAGTTAGTCAATGTCAGTGATTTTTTAAAAGCCTAATCCATTCATGGGTGAATTTAGTGTGAAGCTGAGCAAGTTTGCATTTAAAATCTATGTATATCAAATAGACGCATTACCCAAATTATTCTTCCATACATTCCAAAGGAAAAAGAAAACAGGATTCACAAGTGAGAACCAGATGCATATTCTAATAATAGGTGCAGTTTCAGGGGTAATTTATGATTATACTCTCATATGTGGAAATATTAAAATATTACTTTGTATTATATGAGGTTGAACATAAACATACCATATTTAGTGGTACAAATATCTATTCAAAAATACTGCTGTAAAATAAAAGAAGGATAATTATAATAGTTCCACTTTACATTTTAAAAACTTTTTCTAAATCCCTTCAAATAACAATTTGAAGCTAAAAATAAACATGACTTAATCTAGTGTGTGTGCATGTTTTTTAACTATTATTTATAGATGATATTGTTTGAAGAAGAAAGGGACTGAAAAATATAGTATGATGTTTTAAGCTCAGATCTTAATTCATGTACTCTTAAATGTGAAGATTAAAGATACATGTTTTTTGAACCAGGAGTTTAAATCAGGAGGTCTGGTTTAAAACCTGGTGATCTTCCTGTGATGCTTCCTGTTCATGATGACTCGGGACTGCATTGACAAGATATACAATATGATGTGAAATAAGGCACACTAACCCATAATACAGTGCAATGACCATTTTGTGTTACTAAATATGTTCATTTACCTCTACTTCACCATCTGCCCCACCACCCATTCAATTCAGTCATTTGAAACAAATAGATCTAGCATTTTTCCCGATTCCATTTGAACTCATACTTTTTCTTTAATGTGTATATTCAAATCCATAGATTTTCTTATTTATTCTCTGAGTGTTAATTTTATGTAATCTTTGTAAAGTTGTTGTTTAGGAATATTTTCTAAAATATCAGATAAAATATAGCTAAAATGCAAAAACACTAAGTTTCTATTCATATCATTACAAAATCCTTAACATGGAGGCATATTTTGTTTTTCAGAATTGCTTTTTCTCTCTTCACTCTTTAGATCCTTTTCTTTTCATTAAAAAACTACTCTGGGAAGAAGGTTTCTTTTTTTTCCTTAACAGGGAAAAAAAAAAAGCCACGCTTGACTGATAATGCATTGCTTTGGATGGTGAAACATTATGAAAGTTTAATTTTTAATTAAATCTGAAATACCAATTATAACTGAAAGAGATTTTAACCTGTTTCTTTTCAGACTGCCTGAAGTTACATTTAGAGACTGAAATCACTGCACCTTAAAAACAAAAGATTGAGCTGCACTGTATTCCTGTAAGTAGAAGCTTCCTGTACCTTCCTCTGTTTTTCTGTGACTAACCTCAAAAACGGACAAAAACATTGGTTTTGAAAGTCCCTGAAGAAATATATCTTTAAATAATTTTCCTTCTTTTAAGAAAAAAAGTTAGTGGGCTCAATATTCAGTATATCTTTTTTATTTAACCGAAAGTATGGATTCTTTCTTTTGGCTGGTTTGAATTTCATTAGGGAGGGTGTCACCCACAGTGTTTCAGCACAGTAACATACACCCTGTTTGGAAAGATTCTTGCATTTTTTTGTACCAGACTCACGAAAGGTAAAAGAAGATTTCTTATTGAATCTAAGTAGATTTCATTTTCCTTTGTGATGTCATTAGAAATTTTTAGCCTTTGTGTCAATGGAAATGGAAAGTTCATGATGACATCACAAGATCCTGTTGCCTTGAGGACTTTGGGCAAAACTAAGTAAAATGCATAATTCCCTTGTGTGCTCGTGTTCCCCATTCTGCTACAAAGCAGTCAAAATAGCACATCTTCTGTCTTCCCGTGAGCTACAAGGCTGTCTCTCAGAGCCCCATTGTTCCATAAATGCATGTCAGAGTCTACCACAGTCTGGTCTACCCTTATTTAGCTGCTGTTTTGTCAATGTACTTGGAAGAACAATTAACATTTGGGATTTCAATGTCTGAATAACAGGCAGTGAATAGAACTGGAGCACATAAAAGATTCAGATGCCCAGGGTAAGAAAACAGAAGCTTATAGTTGGTGGAGGAAAAAAAAAAAGGAAAATCATTTTAATGCTGTACTCAAAGGTTGTGAAATACTACAAGGAAAGTCAATCATTTCTTTTGTAAGTTTTAGGTCCAAATGTGTATCTTGTAATGAAATCCAGAAGCTTATGACATCTTCCTCAGTTTTGAAGTTTAATGTGTTGCAAGATCCTTGCTAGAGAGTCTTAGAACACTTAACTTTCCTTATTGGAATGCCAGATGTGGTTTTTGCTGCATCGTGGTTTTCAGAGTGCCACAGTCATTGTCCAGCAGAGAGCCTTAAAGGTGATTTCTTCCATTTTTACCTTGGTTAACTGCACTCTTTCATTATTGACTGTAGTTCTTGTGTGTTGACTGTAGACAGTCCTGGAGTGTTTTAAATGTCTCTGTCTTTTGTTTAAATTCTTTATAAGTTCTTCTATTTTATTTATTTATTTTTTGGTGGGATGATGCATGGGCCAACCAAGATCACCACCCTGTCGGGGCATCTGGTGAAATAGAGGGACTTTGGCAGCTTATGTGTGTTGCCAACTCAGCACACTTCTTGGCTGGCATTAGAGAGTAAATGATTATTGTAATTTTGTCATATCTACAAAAGTTCAAACCCACTGTAAAGTCTCTAATAGCAATACCTCTCCTTGTTCATTTTTATAATTCCCCAGTACTTGATACAATAATGGGTGATCACAAAATAGCTATTGTTATTAGTACCATTACATTTGTAAAAACTCAGAAATTTAGGATTCATTCATCCAGAGAATATTTATTTTAAAGAAAGATTGAATAAAGTTTTTTAGGGGAAGACACTCATGAAGGAATTTTCTAAAGATAAATCTTCTTTTCATCATATACCTCATTGAATTACTCTTCTTTTTCCTGACGAAATAGGAGTACCTATACCACATCCTTTTTGTCTGTGAAATGGTCTTCAATAGTTTTCCATTTAACTTGTGTCTTATGTCTCCTAAACTTGACTTGGCTCTAGGTGGACAGTGCTCTGCCATTTAAGTTTTTTTAGTTGTCATACAGTAGACTGTGCTTCAAGGAAGTGGGTCAAGTTGTAGAATAGATATTGGCTCACAAGAGCAGAAAATTAGAAAGTTACTATAAACAGAAATTATTTTCATTACATAAAAATTCAGGACCAGTTTCTAAACAATACGTCCACAATATTCTTTAGAACTCAGAACTATTTGACACAAATTTTTCTGTCCCTCCTCCCACCAACACTTTTAAAGATTTCTTTCCAAAAGGAATCCTTTCATTTTTATTAAATCAGCTTCTGGTGATGCAAATTAAGGTGCTCATAAAACTTGTCCTCTGAGGCAAAACTAAAATGATAAAATTTAGGCCTAGTGAATTGGACTGTTACCATGTTGAGTAACATTTAAGGACATCAAAGAACTTTGTAGAATAATTCACATTTTCTAAGATTGAAAAATTGAGGTGGAAAGGATTTAAGGGTAGAACATCATCAAACATTACAGCTGCAAAGGATGTAGGAATTGAAAGTCCCATCAACTCACTTTGAAATAAATAAATCGAGGTCCAGTTTGGCACATGCATTTACACAAATCATACTGACCACCCATGCAAATCATCCTTAGACATGTAGACCTGAGAGTAGACACAAATGCAGATGCACAGGCTTCAATCTTTCCTCTACCCTCATGGCATGAGCAGTATTTCTTGAAGAGCAAATCATTTGGGGCTCAGTTTTGAGACATGTTGAACTACAGTCCCCTTCACCAAGCCATCCAAAATTCATACTTAAAGGACTATTCTGAAAACACTATTATCAAAACATTTATTTTTTTATTGTTCCTGTATTCTTGACACCATGCCTTTAGTGGTGCAGTGAATTGTACAGAGGCAAATTTATTGGTTGACTTAATATTCTTTATGATTCTTATGATGATTTACAGAGTAGACAGAGGACCATTAGAAACTTCAGTAGCTTAATTGGGCTTACAGGCATGATGAAATCAGTAATCTGAACAGAGCCATTGTGACATGGAATTCAGACTTTCCAAGAGTGTGCATCATGCATGGTGTCAGAATGTCACTGTAGCAAGGGGTCATTTCCATCAGAGAAAAGTTTTTCAGAGTCTGAAAAAAAAATGAAATAAAGTTTAATAATTTAAAATTAATTTATTTCCCTGATAACTTATTTCATGTTGCCTTTATTCGTTTCTGTCATTTAGAAATCCAGAGAGGTGAGTGTAAGAATTTTTTTGTATTATTTTACCCAAAGTTAAGTCCTGGATATAGTGTAAATTCTTCCTCAAAATTATTTTATTCCATCTAAACGTTCCCCTTCCCCACATGAAGAAATTCAAGTCACCATGTACAAAAGTGCCAAGTTTTTATGGCACAAATATAAGGAGACTGATCTTCCCTTAAAAAACAAAACAAACAAACAAAAAACATGGAAGCATTGGCATATTGAAAAAAAATGGGGAATTGAGGCATAGAAATGTCAAATGAGGGCCCCATATGGAGGTCTTCAACAAGACTTACTCCTCAAACCTTTTGTCTCTTTGCTCTACACTAATGCATATTAGTTCTATGCCTCCAATAAGCAAAATGCCATCAGGATACATAGCAAAATAATACTTATTTCCTGTCATTAAGAAATTTGTAAACTATTTGGGAAATGGATGCATCTTTCTTATAAATAAAATGTTAAATGGGAAAGCACAAGGAGTAAATTGTTACCATTTTTTCTGGGCCATCAGGAATTGAAATGAAATGAAAGCCAATGGAACAGAGAATACTAATAGTGTGATTTGACAGTATGATGCTTATTGGTGTCAGTGACTAAAGAGAAGCAAGTAGAAGGGAACCAGAATGTATGGGAGCATCAGTTTTACAAAAGTAGGGATTGCAACATGGAATCCAATCAAAGAAAGTTAAATATCAAAAGAAAGTGAATCACATATTTTTTTTTTTAAAGAGAGAGTGAGAGAGGAGAGAGAGAGAATTTTTTTTAATATTTATTTTTTAGTTCTCGGCGGACACAACATCTTTGTTGGTATGTGGTGCTGAGGATCGAASCCAGGCCGCACGCATGCCATGCTTGAGCCACATCCCCAGCCCTGAATCACATATTTTTAAGATAGTGGATTAAAAAATAAATACAGGGCTGGGCTCTAGCTCAGTGATACAGCACTTGCCTTGCACATGTGATGCACTGGGTTTCCTCAGCACAACATAAAAATAAATAAATAAAAATAAATATGTTTATTGTGTGCATGTACAACTAAAAAATTTTAAAAGAACAAGTCTTTTAAATAAATAAATGCTTTCTTACTAGGAACTTTGTCCTCCAAATATGGAAGAACCTTTTTTAAAAAAACTTTTTTTTTAATATTTATTTTTTAGTTTTAGGTGGACACATATCTTTATTTTATTTTTATGTAGTGCTGAGAATTTAACCCAGTGCCTCACGCATGCTAGGCAAGTGCGCTACCACTTGAGCCACATCCCCAGCCCATGGAAGAAACTTTAAAGATAAAAAGACCCTTTAATTACTCAACTCATGTAATCCTTACTAAGGATAAAATTATTTTCCCCTTTTCCTATATGAGAAAGTAGAGGCATTAAGCAATTTGTCGCAGGTCATGTGACTGATAGGTTTTAGATACAGAATGTGAACATGTCTGTCAAACTCTATATGCCTACTCTTCCCATGACTTGACACTGTTTTCCAGATTTATAGAACTTCAAGTATTTCACCATTGATAATTCACAAGTTTATATCTCTAGTTCTAATACCTCTCCAAACACCAGGCCTACATTTCCAATAACTGTATTTAAATCTTCAAATAGAAATCACACTGTTTTCTTGGAGTCTGTATATTAAAACTGAATTCATTCTCCTAGTTAAAAATCATCCGCCTTTCAACTATCCTAATTTTCCTTACCCCAGCTCTCTAGGGCCTTGACTCAAAATATATTATTCGTACCTCTTCCTGCTCCTAGATGTCCAGTAAGTGGCTAGGTCTTGTTAATTCTCTTTCTTTGATACCTCTGTTCTAGTGAGGCTTTCATCTTCTCTTACTTGTGGAAATTTCTTAATTGGGAGAAACAGGGCAGGGGTATCAGCTCATCATAAATACTGCTGCCCTATTAACTTTCCTGAAGCAGAAACACTAAAATTATGTCTCCTTTGCTCAGACAAAACTTTCAATAATTTTATATTCACTACCAAAAAATCTTCAATATCATGGGGTTCTAAAATCTA